AAAATACAGACGAGATGTTTTGACAAGTCAGTCACTGACATTACCCCGGAATGCCCTAGAACAACGACATCTTTAAGTAGTTGTCATTAATGTGTCATTCAATTTTTTTTAGCTTTTACAATTTGAACTTAGATGTATTTTTATTTCCCACCCAAGTGGCAAGTTGCCAAAACAACACTTAGACAGCACAGCTATATCCATTAATTTGGTTTGTTGCATATTTCTATTCACCATGTATATTTTCAACATGAAACACAATGGTTTATTTAGTGAACCTTTAAATTCAGAATCAGCTCTTCTTCAGTTATATTCACAATTTTTTTTCTCATTTTCTTGCCAAAGATATGTTATCATTTGAGATTGCTAAACATGGCTCAAACAGCAAGAGACAATTAAGAGCAAACCTATATATACTTGTATGGCAGATGTTATTCTAGCAGACGAAATATTTCCTACAGATGATTCACCTCAAATATTTATTCGGGATACAGAGCTTATTGCTCGTGATGAAATTTGGTCTGTTTGTCAAGGTCAGGCAATTGGCACTAATAGTGGCTTTACTTAAAAAAGTATACGTAAACGATATAGTGCTTACTATACCGTAGTGATCATAAAATTTCGCAACAAAATTAATTAATAAGCCGAAGAAACTTAGAACCACAGATCCATTCATATTACGAAGTGAAGTAATAACTATAATGATTTAGAAAAGTTCATTTAAGTATTTGTATCTACAGACTACATCTGTCGAAACATTGGCATGGCTTGACAAGTATAAACATTATGATAAACAAAAAACGTTATTTTGGAACGAGTTATCCCATTGTCACTTTTCACAGCTTTTAAACCCTGAAAATTATTCAAGAGTGAATATTATGCATGTTTGCGCATTAAACATGCTTGTGCACTTTTCTATATTCAGTTCGAAACATATAATCACAATGCAGATTAATTTTAATCCAATCTGAATTTGACTTGACTTGCTACACGTGTCTATAATTTACATAACGCATTAATCTTTGCGAGTGAACTTTTGGTATAAGAAGTGTGTGTACGATCACAACATATTAATGACTTTATGATTCATTTTTATTGGTACTTCAATGATTTCAGAAATTTCAGTTAATTATTATTATTGGGAGTATACGAGATGTACGCTATTACAGGACACTTAAGCCCTGATGAATATTATTATTAATTTTTAATCACTATCACTACTATGATATATAATAATGAACATTTTATTATGTGTTAACCATGATCATTACTATTAGTATGCTGTATTTTACGTACATTACAATGTTATTGCATGTTAATGATGTGTTGCATATTGTCCATTTAGTATTAAATTTGTGGTGTATTATAAATATAAATATATTTGGTTTATCAATATTATGATTGTCGGTCATAGATGTTTGAATAAATGATTATTGTTATATGCACAGTGTATTTAACTTTTGTTAATGATGATGACATGAAACTGTTGATATGCATTGAGGAAGATTCTCACATTTTGCGACTTAATTATTTATCGGTATAATTTTATAAAATTCGTGGATTGAATTTGATATGATCAAGTGTTTCTCTTATAGTCATCACAGAGGATAGCTAGAGTGTAGACAAATATGAAGATGAATATGTACTTCATCATGAGCGATGCGCTGGTCGCAACGTTGTGGTGAGTGTTGTTCATTGGACAGGGAGTGATCAACCCTATTGTCTAACGTAGTGCATTCCTACTATGTCTTAAATGACAGCCGAAAGAGAAAACTGTATAATATGATGTGTCAGAGCCATAATAAGAGAGCAAAATATTTCGATATCCTCATGAGAAAACTGATAAAAAGTATCTTTGCTCTTGGGCCACACATTTAATGATGTAAATGTCAATACGAACTATATCCATGAAGAATTGCATTTTCTTAAAAAAAGTTATTACATTATCTTCCTTCAGGTGATATTTTTTTGTTTCATGTCGAATGTGTTTTTAATTTTAAGTATAAGTAACTTGTATAGAATTACTTTTCTTATTTATATTTTTGCTTGACTTTATGATAGACATGGAGTGTTTAACGAAGGTTATCATTAATTTTATTATTGTTTTATTTAATTTTGCAGAAATTGATGGATTTGCGTATAACATTTAAATTTTTGACATATATGTGACATCATCATTTAAGTTTTTTTTTTTTTTTTTTTTTTGAAAATTTACGTATTTTGTGTTCTTTAGTATTTGCTTTGCTTTCGAAAAAAATGAATTATACTTCAAACAACAAAGAGATTCGAATTTTCAGATTAAGTTTTCATCTGATTTGATAAATGAATCAATTTTGTTTGCATTTTGTGGAAGGTTTAATAACCTAGACGAGAAGTTGGACTTTATGAAGTTAATTGGCTGTGCTCATTATTTGATGATATCTGAAGATTACATGATATACATGTTGCATCAAATACCATTAGATTTTGGTAAATGTATTATTCAATCTTTATATTATGCATGGAGTGTTACTATGTTAGTTGTAGTTACTGTACTATTATTGCGACGTTTGAATATTCCTGTTAAGCATTATCATGAATTATTGATGAATGATGATCGAGAAATGACGTATACTCGATTTCGACGACTTGCTCTTAAATTTACAAGGAATGGAATTTGTTCTGATCTTACTATCAGTACAGTGGCACATTGTCCTATTTGTAAATACATTGAACATTAATGCATGCAGCATAGATTGTTTTTGTAAGGGATCTTTTACTACATTACGATAGCATAGTTAGTTTTGTTAATTTACAAATTTGATATTATTTAGTTTTGCTTTAAAAAAAATGAAAAAGGAGCNTGGAGTAATTCTTTCTTTGCTTTCTCCATTTTCGCGTCTTGGTGTGTGGAGCGGCGTCCACGCGCGACGGGTGGCATTGTCCTCTGCTTGCACCTCAAGTAATTTTCTTTTTGTTTGTTAGCGCTTCCTTAGACACTTCCTAGATAGTGCACAGACTCCTACTGCGTCAGGCACAATTATGATTAATTACGTCAGTGAAACGGGAGTAGGTAGGGCCTACTCAGCTGTCAATCATTTCTCAGGGGAGAGCGGCTTTCGTGGTGCGAATAAGTTTGCGTACAAAAGTAAGACTTTCTGGCATGTAGATAGAAACAAACAACACAATTTTAACACGTAATGGTGTATAGACCTTCCCGATCAATAAAATGATAACAGGTAAGGTGGTGGTGCAATTAGTTTGCTAAATTAGCCCAATTACCTGAGCCAAATGGTTTATGAGCGATTTCTCAGCTTTGAAGATTGATAACATAGTCTAAACTTCAATCCCCATATCTCATTCTTTTCCTGTCAGATTGACATGAAATTTGATGTGTCTGTGTTTCAGTATAATATCTAGTCGACTGCGTCTTGGGTTTTGATTGGCCTTTTATTTTTGAAGTTATTAATACTGAAAGTGGAAGGTCCATATATATTGCGTAAAATTCATGTTTTATCAAAATAAAATCAAAAGTAAAAATAATAAGAGAAAATCCTGACAGAGTTTACTTGTCTTTGTGCTAACCTTTAGATAGCTATTTCAATCGTATTTATAGGTGTTGTAAAGCAAATGACATACACTTTCGGCAATTACAAAACAATTAAAACAGAATCAAATGTGTAGAAAGTTATCGAGTACAAAGTAAATTTCTTAAAGTGTCAACGAGTGTAGAGACTGTTCTCGAAGATGGAAAGGGTGGAACGTTTCAGAGTCCGAAATAGTTGGATCCGATTGGTTAATTTTTCTATCGATTTGCGCGTGTTTAACACGTGTAGAACTCATGCATACTTGAATTGGACAGGATCCAAAATGAGTAATTCGGAAAATATTTTAAATATTTTAAATCATAAACAAGTTTCATTTAAATTATTAAATTAGGAAATATTGAATAGAGTTTTGTAATATGAGAATGGGAAATATGAGAATGGAAAATAGAATATAAATACTTGTAGATTCTGTGAAAAATTGAGTGTGGGGAATAAATATCTGAGGTTCCAGATCGTCGTTGTTGTCACTTTAATATAGGGCTTTTTGTTTAAGAGAAAATCTTGATTAAAAAAATGACAATTTTAGCCCCAAAACTCTGATATTATGTCACTCGTGTTACACTGTGACTACAAACTTTGGAAAATTGTTTTGCTTGCTAGACCATATCCTTTAGTTAATAGGACATTTAATTAGCTGCATTAGTTTTGGACTTTTTCGTTAATATCCTAGACCCCTTATTAACCGTTCTCTTGCATTTCTTTCATTTTTAGTGTTCCGATAGTGAAATGTTTTCCCTTGTCTCTTTATACAGAACATTACAATAATGATGAACAGCTCAACCTCTAAAAGAAAATCCCCTTTTAGCAATTACAGGTACATCATCCAATTATACATGATTGAATATCTTAGTATAGATAACGTTGATTAATTTACCTTGTCCATCCGATTTCCAGAATTCAATTAACAATTTGCTTGCCTATTTTTTTCTTTCAATTGATATTTTGTATAATCTGTTTGCCTATTTTTCTTTCAAACTCGTCTGTTTGACTTAGTTCTGTATCGAGGCTCAGACGTTTTGTTCCTGTGGTTGAAAACGGAAGTTTCAGAACTACAAAAGCGGAAACGAGGCTAAGCTTGTTTTACATTGAGCCAAAGCTTACACGGTTAACTTTTAAGAACAACCAACTACTGTTAGTCTACCTGATAAACCCCAGTCCAAAGTCCCCATATTGTGCGCGTGCTGTTAGGTTATACACTTTATTTTCTACCCAAAATCTCACAGTAAATGCAGGCTTCCTCGATTTCTGATGTGTTGGCTTCGTGTGTCTAATAGTTTCCATTTTTAACAAATGGTTGCCTAAAGTCTAGTTAAAGAAATATATTTTTCAATGTCATCATGGTATCCAGATTATCTTCTTTTAAAAAACTTTTTGTGCTTTTGGAAAGGTGGAATTAAGCTACATTCTGACAGTGAGGATGCATCTCTTTGTGCACTTTTGTTATTTACAGTAAATTCAGCCGGGCTGCTGTAAGCTTTTCTGACCTAGTAAAGGGTCTTACAAATATCGCATAACTTAACGCCGTATGTTAGGAGCTTTTTATTTCTAACAAAGCCACAAAGCCAGTAAAATCAATACTCCAACTTAGACTGGTTAAGGCCGTCCTTCACACATCGCGCAAGGAAGGTTCATGTAGTTTGGGTGTTAACGGACATTATGGGCGGTGAAAAGTTTACTGCACAGCGTTTGGTGTTCCTGCTTGTTAGCGTTATAGTATTTTCAGCGGTCCAAGCCGGTAAGTTTAATCTAAATGTAAGTTAAAATACTTCTAAATGTAAATGTGTCATGTGCAGTATGAATTATGAACATTAAGACAGTTTAAAAAGTTAATATTATACATGCTTTCTTGTGGCAAATCAGCTATATTATAAAAGCAATGCGTGTGCTTTTGGCGGTATATAGACGCGCGAATAGTTCTTTTTTATGTAGAACACTAAAAATAGCTACAAATAGTATTGTACCTGTACAGCGATGTTTTTTTCATGGGCTTTGCACATGGCCCCACACATTCTGTATATACTTTGGTTTTATTGGCATGGATTTTACCTCGAAGCATTCGTATAGAGGCACACACCTATTAGAAAAACAAATATAATAGAGACCGTTTCCTGTCCAATACCTTAAAACTCAAAAATAATGATTGTCAAGCATCGCTTTATAGTGCTGCAAATAATCATACTTATTACCTTTGATGACTGCAAAATTCTTTTTTCTTGGAAAACGGTGCTATCCAATACAGAATGATGACTTTGTCTTCGCATTATTAAATTTTAATTACAGAAGGCATGGTTCAAACGTCTGCATCTTAAATAACGAGTGTTTCTGTAACTTTTTTTGAGCAATATAATAATGGAAAATAATATGACCTCCATTATTTGTTAGATTTTCCCTTTTTCAATAACTTAGGGCTGTGTTTGCAGATACACTTAAGCAATACTCACGTTTTTTGTTGGTTTAAGTACTGGCACAAAGTCTGGCTTGACGTATATACATTGTTTACCTACCCATTGAATATGGGTTTTCTTTGCGTGTTATATAACGACACCTTTTGTTGTACCATGGCAGCATACTCTTACAAGGCCAATCCTAGGTCAGTTTTAAAGAATCATTTTTAAAAGAACGCTCCCATCACAAAGACTCGCAATAGAAACCGGCAGATACAGAAAAATACCTATTGCACAAAGAAATATCTGGATTGAAACGCTGCGGATGATGGATTCCGTTTTATACATGGGTGCCGCAGAAATGCCGTTCTCGAAGAAAGTTCATCAAATGAATTCTTCCAATAAGAAAACACAATGTAACCTTGCACAGTACATTGACCTAGCTGGAAGGCTTCAGCAGGGGCCCTTATCGTATCTGATTTCCATGTGACTAATCGGTTAAATAAAATGGCCTCTGGAATTTTTTTTTTTTTTACATTTTGTTTTCGGTTTACTAGGTTGTCATTTTCCACTTGCAAGCGGTGTCAAATAATTTTAACAATTTGCAAAAGATACATGTATATAAACTTACGTACAGCAAAACAACTTATCCTAAAACAAATACATACATTTAGTAGAACTTTAAATCAAGTATATATGCAGGGCGCATGAGACTTATGGCGCAATACTTGACATCTTGTGAGACAACCTGTACATGTGGAACCTGCGATGTTCTGCATGGGGTGGGGTTAACTCTTCTGCTATAAGGGTTAACCATTAAGTGCCTGTAATATAGTCCAGTAAACGAACGGTCTAAGTTGAAAAAATGTTAACAAAGGTTTCTCAACTGAATCCAGTCCAGTTACGGGCCAATATAACCCAGATAACTTCCCACCGGAATCCACAGATGGTAAAGTGCCAAAATCCAAAATGGCCGCCAATGCATAGAGAAGGGTATTTAATTGGGCATATCATGGAAACTGGGTTACTTAGAAACTTGTAAGAGGTATCATGTTCAAAGGCATGTCTACGTTAATTTCCATATAACATGACATTGTAAAATGAAAAGCAAAATAGAAACTTTGGAGAAAATATGCGCAAAAACCTACGCGGGAGTGAACCTTGACTTGTCAGTATACGACCTCTACACAAACCAGTCCGATATTCCAAAGTATCAGCGTATTGTCACAACACGTTTCAAATTATCATCACATCAGTTGGCTATACCAACCTGAAGGTGGAGCAGAAAGGAAGGGAATGAAAAGCTGTGTCAGTGCAGTGAGATACAAACGGAGAGTCAAGCGATTAGTGAGAGCTAACTTACGCCAGAAATCCGTTTGGGCCACCCTGGAGTTGTAAAGACAACATTAAGCCAATTATTTTTGAATATTTCAGTAAATGCGTCTGAATTTGTGTAAACTGGTATGAGGATAAGTGAAGGAATGAGGCACTTCTGCATTTAAATTTTAATTATTTTACCTTTTTGGTTTAAATTTGATATCATATATTTATATATGTGTGTTCTGCTTGCACCATATTGTATACAGTAATGATAAAATCCTACAACCTACATGTATTGTACATGTATGCAATGTGATTCCAATATTGTTCAAGGTTTTATTTTCAGGGTCTTCTTCCGTCAGTTTTTAATGTCTTTCTCAATTCAGGTGCTTGTTTTATTACTCTTTTTATAACCTTTACCACGTATAATTAACCTCATGCTTATATTACAGATCGCCACGAGTGTGCTCGAGTTTGTCAGCGAAATGTCCACAAGACCTGCGAGTACAATTTTACCGTCGAGTGGTATCTTACGCTATCCAAGGTGAAAAAAGGAAAAAAACTAAATTTTAGGATTTGGAAATTTAATGAAGACTCAAAGTTAAGATATTTTTAAACATAAAGGGAATATGTTATGTGATCCGTTGTCAGCTTGAAGGGTTAATGAATTAAAAAAACGTTTTTTTTTTTTTTAATTTTGTCAATTTCAATCAACTAGAACGTCGACACTGCTGCACATGGGAAGCTGGTAGGCACCCCACTATATTCTTAATTTACGTTTGCGACAGTATGGCAAAAAAAAAACATTTGAGGAAGTTCTAGAAATTATTTTGCCAGCTTACCAGCTGAGCGAATCATTCGAGCATAATTCGAGAGAGTTCCCTATGAAATAACTGTACCACTTAAATTATAAAAAAATAGTTTTTAAAAAGAAAAACAGGAAAGATAAAGACAATAAGCATGAGCACCCCCTCTAGATATATTGTTAGTGAAGCACTTACCGTTACTTACATAAAACCCTTCTAAAATGCAAAACCCGCACGGAACGATACATTCTAGGCTTGCTATGAGTGTCCATTCAACCTGACAGACTGCCACCGCCCCCACTGTATAGCTGCTGATGGACATATGCGAGCAGTTGTTGCAGTCAATAGACAGATACCAGGGCCGATGATAGAGGTGAGCGTGCGCACACTCGCACACACACACACAAACACATGAGGCCTCTGTATCCCTGAAGATCTCTCGAAAGAAGTCATTCAATTTTGTGTGTGTTTAATTCAGCTCGATTTTGCGAGCCTGTCATGCGGTGACAGTTGACATTAGTCTTGGAAGCTTTTGCGTGGTTTGTGACACATTGTCCACCCCTCATAAAGCTGGAAACCTAGCGTGCATACACCCGAATTCCCACCGAAAATATTTTGGCCTTAGCCAATAATTTATTTGTTTATATGAATTACGAATTAATATTTATCAATACATTGGCTGAGGTGCCTTTATTGTAAATTAATCAAAAGATATGTGATTGTCATCCAGGTTTGTGAGGGTGATACCTTGGTGGTGAATGTAAAGAATGAACTTGAGGACGGTGAAAGTACAGTGATACATTGGCACGGCATCCACCAGATGGGGACACCGTACATGGACGGAGTCAGTATGATAACACAGTGTCCCATTCCACAGTTCACAACATTCAGGTACGCTACGGGAATGTTAGACACATTAAAATGTAATGTTGATAGCAGTTTGTCGTCAGATCTTTTTAAGAAGTATAATATATTTATATTCTTTACGTTATTTTTAATTACAATCTATTGCAACAGTAAGTTAAACAGCCGCAATGAATTAACCATGGCCTTTAGGACTAAGGTATGTAGGGCTCTCTGAAATGTCTTGTAGCAAGAATGAATTCCTGCTTGCAGTTACATGATTGTTTGTTACGTCTGGTGTGTTATAATTTGCAAGTACTTGCGCTATTGAGCAATTGTATATTTTAGTTTTTCACACGCCTGTGTTTTACACTGTCAAAGCGCACAGGGTTACTACTAAACATGGAATATTATTTTTTTGAGAGTAAATTTTCTACAAAATATCTATTTTCTCTCTTACTTTTTTAAATCCAAAACTGAGGTGTCACTCCATGTGTAGCCAGGTGTGTTACCTTATTACCACACAACTCTCGAAACAATTGATGCTTGCAGTTGCATTATCTGTGGTCAGAAATGAGGGGTGGTCTTTTCGGCAATTTCTTCCCTTGTATAAAACGCATGAGTTTGGTCAATCTTTGGAGTGTATTTAGAGAAGCAACAAAGGGATCGCTCTGAAACTTGACAGGTACCTTAGAGAAGATATGGTTCCACAGCTAAGCAACGCAGCTTACTATGGGATTCTTGCTCTCAGAGAAAATGGCCAGAAACGGACAGCCATTGCCAGACAATTCAACATTTTTCAGGAACCGTTAGTAAAGTCCTACAAAGAAATGCTATCGACGTCTGCAATGGGCTGGGGACCACGTCCGTTTGCAGCCAAAACACTGGAATCACGTCGTTTTTAGTGATGAGGCTAGATATGGATTTTTTGGGGTTGACCTTCGAATCCGTGTCCGCTGACGTGTATGAGAGGCATAAAATGATGATTGTGTATTGCCTAGGGTGCAAGCAGGGGGTGGTAACGTCTCTATTTGGGGAGCATTTAGTGGCGGTGCCCAGAACCAGTTGGTTTTTCCAGGAGGCAACCTCAACCAGGATTCCTACAGAGACATTCTACAGCAAACAATGCTTCGATTTGTAAGAGTCATATTCAGGAATAACTTTGTGTATCAAGACGACTGCACAACCCCACATCGAGCTCGCAGAATCACTGTTTTCCTTCAAAACCAATAGGTTCAGCAACTCCCCTGGCCTGCAAACTCCCCAGAAATGAACCCAATTGAAACCTGTAACTCTCAGAATTAATAGCTATGGTCATTGGCCGGTAAACAGTGATCAACTGCGCCAGGCAAATATCACTGAGTGGAATGATATCCCCACTCAATGACGTACTTTTTTTGATGAATCAAGCCAAAAAATATTTAATCAGCACTCAAAAATAACAATGATAAAAAATATTTCATATTAAGTAGTAATTCTGTATATTTGCAGGGTTATCTAACAGGTCGTCATAAAATTTAGTATGTAACCATTTATAACACTGAAAGCATGTGTCGAGTAAAGTTTCATAATTTTTGCAAATTATTTGTGGTCACTGCAGATAATTTTTTAAAAATCTTTTTACAAGTATTAATATATTAAACATGACATATTTAAGGCATGGGATTGCTGATGAATATCAGAACGCTTTATATGTACCGTGTTGTGTATACAGATATATATTGATATAAAAAGTATACACCCTATGTCCTCATTAGATAAAAATGACGGCAAAATTTTTTTTCATTATCTTTTTGCTTGGTAATTTTTTCTTGGGGGGGGGGGGGGGGGGGGGGGGG